CACTGACATCTAAAGAAGATGTGGGTTGCTGTGACTGGTGACAAAACCATTACTTCCTATTTAAGGGGAAGGCACAGATTCAATCCCACAGCCAGGGAATCAGGGGAGATAGATTCTGTATGGCTTGAAATTACTTTTTTTTTTTGCCTTGGAAAAGCTTCTATGATGCCATACAATGCTTTGAAAACAGAACTGCCTTTAAAGGGACAACCCCAAATCTTTTCCCTTGTCCTTTGTCCAGTATCACCTAACAGCAAGCTATTTTTTTCACATTATATATGTCTATATAAAATAAGCCCATATATTAAAAGACATGTCTAGATTTGGCACTTAGAGGAAAGCAACCAGATTTGGTTGGAATCATAGTGTCCTCTATCGTACAGAATTCTGGGAGAAAGAGGCCTGAGAGTGGGGGAAAGATTAGGTACAACAGGTATCACTAAACCACACACATTGGGAATTAAGAGAGAAATTGAGAACAATCTTCCCAGGTATAAACCAATCTAAAGTATAGTGTATCCCCTTGGAGAGAAGAATTTTTCTTACAGGTAATTTACATTTCCCTACACAACTCATTTTTAAAAGGCCACTTTATAAAATGCTCTGATAGAAAGATTTCTCATACAGAGGGCCAACAGACATGAAAAGTTGCTCAACATCACCAATTATCAGAGAAATGCATGTTTTTTTGTTTTGTTTTGTTTTTATCCTCACCCGAGGACATTTTTCCATGTTTTGTTCAGGTAGAGTGGGAGGGAGAGAGAGGAACAGAGAGAGAGAGAGAGAAACATTGATGTGAAAGGGACACATCGAGTGGCTGCCACCCGCACAACCAACCAGGGCCGGGGACAAACTGCAACCAAGGTACGTGCCCTTAGCGGGAACCGAACCCGGGTCTCTCCGGACCGCAGGCCGACGCTCTAACCTCTAACCGCTGAGCCAAACCAGCCAGGGCGAGAAATGCATGTTAAAACCACAATGAGATATCACCTCACACCTGTCAGAATGGCTACCATCAATAAATCAACAAATAAATGTTGGAAAGGATGTGGAGAAAAGGGAACCCTCATGCACTGTTGGTGGAAAAGCAGATTGGTGTAGCCAGTGTGGAAAACCGTATGGAGTTTCCTCAAAAAATTAAAGATGGAACTGCCTTTTTACCCAGCTATCCCACTTCTAGGAATATATCCAAGAATCCGGAAACATTAATTCAAAGAATATATGCACCCCTATGTTCACTGCAGCATGACTTACAATAGCCAATATTTCGTAGCAGCCCAAGTGCCCATCAGTAAATGAGTCGATAAAAACACTGTGGTACATTTACACAATGGAATACCGTCAACTGTCAAAAAGAAGGAAATCTTACCTTTGCAACTGCATGGAGGGACCTGGAGAGTATTATGCTAAGTGAAATAAGCCACTCACAGAAAAATATGATATGATCTCTCTTATATGTGAAATTTAATGAACAAATAAACTATCAAACAAAATAGAAACATACTTATAGATACAGAGAACAGGCTGACAGCTGTCAGAGGGAAGGAGTGTTTGGGGGGCTGGATGAAATAGGTTGAAGGGATTAAGCAGGAAAAAGAACACTTCAAATTTTAAGAGCATCAAGAAAAGGTGTCATGTGTTTCATAAAAGTAAGTAACCAAGATCTGATATAGTTATGATATAGTTATTAAACTTCTCTTTCTGCTAAATTCAGGCCAATTTTAATATTTACCAATTTGGTTTGAAAAGCACCTCTTAAAAAGACTCGATTCCTTCTGGTTGGAAGAAGTAAAGATCTTGCTCTCAGTGAAGTGTGGGGTGTGTCTCAGATAAAAGTGCCCATGCATGTCGACAGCCAGTGTCACAGGACTTAGTTATTAAACACAGTTTCTAGAGTGACTTTCTAGAGATACATATGCCCAATACATGCACCATAAGCTGTACATTTTTGCCTTCTTAGTTCCAAATAGTTTCAGTTTTTCTTTCATATAGCAAACCCTATCCCTGAACATCTTTGAAATGTCAGACTATTAGCTGTTACTTAGCTTTGCTATTTAGGATTGTTTTATTTATTATGACCGCGAGGTATCTGTCATTCTATTTACTAATTTAAAAATGAATTAATTTGTAAAAAGGTGTCTGTGCAGCCTTGGCCAGTTTTTCTCAGTGGTTAGAGCATTGGCCTTCGGTCCAGAGAGACCCGGATTCGGTTCCTGCTAAGGGCACGTACCTCGGTTGCAGTTTGTCCCCGGCCCTGGTTGGGTTGTGTGGGTGGCAGCCACTCAATGTGTCCCTTTCATATCGATGTTTCTCTCTCTCTCTCTCTCCCTCCCATTCTATCTGAACAAAAAATGGAAAAATGTCTTTGGGTGAGGATAAAAAAAAAAAAAAAGGTGTCTGCATAATTTCCCCCACCCTCATGGCCACAAGCACAGACACAGAGCTTGCCTCATGCTTAGAAAAAGACAAGCAGTGATTCCAGGCCCATGAAACTTGCTTAGGAAACAGGCAGATGTCAGATTAGTGGATGAGAAAGTGACAGGTGGTTAAAAGCTTTCCTATTTAAGTGGGGGAGTCACATTAGAATGGAATTTCTACTCAGTGAACTGGAAGGGTAGGACAGTTGCAGAGGGAGTCACATTTCTTTCATAGCCTAGGTGCTATATGAGGGTATGAAATTAAAGCCATTAATAGAGAATTTTTCTAGTATACCCAACAACTTTCCTTTAGGGGTTTCTTCTCTGACTACAGACAGCTATTGGGTTTTTACAAGTGCATAAATATTTGATCCCACTGAACTTCTTCTTCTTTCGTATTTTCAAACCCAACAGTAAAATAGGGAGGTGTACATAGAATATGTTGGGAAATAAAATGAAAGACAACCAAACAAATTGACCTCACAGACCTTTAGGCTGAAATTGACTCCATGACGTTAGATTCTCAACAAAATAAGACAGTCTTTTAAAAGTTTTATTTTTTATTTTTTTTGTAATAACAGTTTTGCTCTTTACAAATTCTCAGTTCAGAACTATATTGAAAATACCTTTGAACAACTGGTTAATTTTGTTTTAGATCTAAGAAATAAGGTTTGGTACTATGTAATGCCCTTGTCCACGTCTGTAAAAATACATCTGAGACTCTTAAACTAACTTGTTAGAGGATTTGCAAAATGACTACATATTGCCATTTGCCTTTATCCTTTCCCTGAAGAAAAAACTTAACACACTGTATTTGGAATACGCTTGTTAATGGACTGTAAAATTCAGACTGAGATATAGGGCAAGGCCCTGGGTATAAGTAAACCCAGAACAGACTCACTTGTGGCATATGGTTGGTACTGTAACCCTCTTTGACATCTTCCTTCACAAAGCCAGGTTAGATGGAGCCTCCAGATCAAAATGATCTGTACAAATCACATTTTTTCCAGAAGTAAGAAGTCAAATGATAACTGAAAACATTTTGTTATTTAGGTTATATAAGCCAAGGACCAAACTGTGGAAACGGAAGGATCAGAGAAAATACAATAGAAAATCACCTTATTGCTTTAAATTGACAGAAACAAGGCAACTATCAAAAAGACAAAAAAAAAAAAAAGTCCCTACTTATAAATAGAAAAGACTCAAATGAACTAGTTCTTTAAAAATACAGAATTTCAAAAGCTACCAAGAAGAGGTAAGTATAAAACACACATTTATATAAATAAATAAATAAGACGGCCAAACGATTTAGTGTTCCTCCTCTAGAGAGGAAGGTTGTTTGGGGTCCATAATTTATCTATGTATAGGCAAGAAATCAAGGAGTCATAATGGCTCTTCTCTCCTACTTCTAAGACTTAAATTAAAAGGCACCTCTTTCTTACAGGGAAAAGTTACTAATAAAGTGAGCCTTTAGAAATGTCTGTGTTTACAACTGGATGTGGTAGTAACAGAGATGACTCTTTCACTAAAATATCTCATTTTTTTAAACTTAAACCAGACATAGAATATTTGGAATCAACATCTTAAGTGAGAACCTGGATTCTGCTGACAATGGGAGTTCTGAAAATGCTGACGATATATATTGCATGACATGAACTGCCGTATGCCTACCCTACCCCAGCATGTGAAAGTGGGTAAACCATGACTGAATGTACAGCAAGTGTATCAATCCTAGGGGAAAAATCTGGTGTTTAAACAAGAAATACATCCTTTACCCAAGGAGTATTTAGACCTGTTACAAGAATGGACTTTTTTGAAAAGGGTACATTAGTACAAGGAGATAAACTGGGTAGATTTTAAAAGTAGTGTCAATTGTAACTAAAAATCCACAAACTTGATGTGATGTCTAGAGAGGCAAAACCAATGGTATTCATAAAAAGATTTAAGAAGAGGCCTGTTTTAGGAGAACTCGGATGAGCACACAGGCCATGTTTAAGCCTAGGTCTAAAGCACTGAGATTTTCTATTGTCTCCTGAACAACAGATGTTGTCGAGAATGTTAATAATCAATGTTATTAATTCAGACCCCACTAATTTGGAATTGACCAGTTTAGAATATAGTGGATTCAAGTTTACCTATGGACTATATGAAAATGCAGTTACCTGCTGCATACCATCTCTCCACCCCCTCAATAGGGTCTTAATTCTCCACTGTAACAATAGTTCCACTTTGTTCTCATGCTATAGCAGTGAGAGGGAAAAAGTGGGGAAGGAAAAATGGAATAATGGAACCAGTCTAATATCTCAGCTGAAAGGCAACATTTCTGAAGTTAAATCCCATTCTAGAACAACAAATTTTTTCTCTTGCCTGTATACTGGGCTGTTTGATATGCATATACTGGTTGATTAATTAGTAAAGGCCCTAAATCCTAGTTAAGGCCCTAAATCCCCTTCCGATTCTTAAGTGGGAGGAGGGGTGTCCTGGTTCTACCCATTTAAACCAATTAGAAAAGCAGCATAGCCTTCTTTGGGAGAAGGATCATTGTGGTGCTACAGGTGCACCACATGGCAGCAGCTGAGTAGCTCACTGTTGTTTAGAGCAGCCTGCCTCCTTGGTGCTAGCCTTGGAGATGCCTATGTCAGAGCTGCCTGTTACCCCAGAGATACCCATGTCTCCAGATAAGCCAGTGGCCCCAAAGACATCCCTGGCCTCAGAGATGCCTGGGTCTCTGGAGAAGCCCACATCCTCAGAAATATTTATGGCCCTAAGGCTGCCCATAACCGCACACCAGTCATGGTGGCAGTATGCACCCTGGCTTTTTACTTGATCCATCTGAGCTTGGAGGCCTCCTTCTGTGGACAAGGTGCCATTCCCCATCAAGGCATTCAGATCTCCATCAATAGTCATAAAGTCAAAAGAACTGGTCAAAGGACTTCCCAGATGCGGAGGTGATAAATTTCCTAATTGAGAGCAGGTGCAGACTTCTTCTAGCGGCTCATCACAGGCTTCCAATTTCTGTTATGGGAGCAAGGAATGGTTGAAAACAATTATAAACAGGGGGAAAACTAGGCAAATATCACATAGAATTGCAGGGATCCTGCCTACTTCACTTATATGGTAGGAAATGACCTTCGTCCTCCCACCCACCTTACCCCTAAACATCCTTTCGTCATCATTTGACATAGTGCTTTAAAAGCCCTACCATTAAAGATCCTCAAGGGGATTGTGTCTATAAAAATCTTCTTTTCTGATAAATGAAATTTTATTACTGGGAGCAGGGGGGCAAGGTGGCGGTTCACTAACACTTACTGACTACCTCTTATGTGCCAGACACTTTACATACAGTATTTCCTTTTATACTCATAAGAATCCTATTAGTTAGGTATAAGCTGTATTTTACAATGAGGAAACAGGCGCAGAGAATTTTAGTCACTCAAATTCACACATTTAGGAAGTAGTAGAGCTGGTATCTGACCCTGCCTCTTTTTAATGTCAAAATCTATAACCTGTTTACTACATCATGCTACCTCCAATGGGTATTTTCACTTTCAGGGATAACACAACGATTCACTGCTACTTTACAACAGTGATGCTTAACTTTCTGGGGATCATAGACCTTTCTGATATCTGAATAAAATGATGGACCTTCTTCTCAGAAAATTGCATGCATACACATATGTGTATACAAGACAGCATATTTTCAGGTATAATTCCAGGGGCTTCACAGATGCCCTAAAGGCATCTGTGGACACTTGTGGGTTCATGGACTCCAGTTGAGAGCTCCTGCATTAGAGAATAGGCATATCATTTTCATTTTTCCAGAAATCACAAAATCACAAACATAGACAAAAACTGTGATAACCCCTGAAGGAAAAATCTAAATGGGTAGGTAGCTGGGGGCGTCGTTCAAACTTTACTTCATCTCGTATGCTTTTGTATTCTGCATATTCTAACTTTACACTTGAACTTCCTTTTTTAAAACATCAACAGGGTTGTTTGGGTAATAATATTATGGACAACTTTTGTTTTTTCTTCTCTGGATTAAAAAGGAATGTTAATAATTATATATATATTTAAAACTTACTTAATATTCTACTATAATCAGAGAATGATTATGAATGAATCTGATTCTTTCTCAGGAATCAGGCAGGAATAAATGAGAGCACTGAGTCTAGAATAAGTGACCTGCTCTGGGGGCCTTATTAACAGCTACAAGAGAAGGCAGGATATCCCAGGAAGGTTTTCCTACTTCTCAGTTCTGCCTAGGGCTTGGTCTCCCCAGGACTGCTTGCTTCCTTGTTTCCTATAATTTTAAGTCACGCTTCAGTTTTCCAGTTTTCCTTCTTTTTCCTCTTTTTTTCAAAAAAATGGAACAAAATAACTAAATACTGCCTCCCAAGAGGACATCCAAAAGTTTGAGATCTGATGTAATCATAATACATTTATTTTCACAATCAAAGGTATTTGTTTACTTATAGGAGAAAGAAAAGCTATGCCTTATCTACCCTAAAGTGGGTTCACGCCCAGTTCCTAAATAGCACACCCTTTCCAAGAATTCTTTTCCAAGAAGTACTCCTCCCCTCTCCTTCAGACACACCCTTTAGGACCCCTAGATTCCAGAAGCAGTTCAGCATTTTTCATATTTTGAAAGAAAATCCTTGTTGACTTGTTTAACCTGTCATTAAAAACAAGTGTCTTACTGGTTTTGCTGGTATTATAAAGTAATATCAACACACATAACATGAGCACTTAATGAACAGTTTGAAATCTACATGGGAAGGAAATGAGAATTTTATAAGGTTTTCCTAATAGAAAATATAACAATTTCATTGTTCTTATAAGTACACCCAAGATGTTATACTTATTCTCTTGAAGGATAACAAACATGCCAGTATGACTTCCCTGTTGCTCCCTCTTGTTTCTCCTAATTACACGCAAATAAAAAAAGGGATCCAATTCACTTGTTTAACTAGCTGACTGTGATACTTACCACATTCTATGGGAAATAAGAAAAAGAGTGGTTGGTGCCTCAGAGCTCTGTAGACACAGGACATCTGGAAGCCAGAAAGTATAACAAGCCAGCCAGGCAGCTTCTCACAAGTACCAATTCAACTCCAAGTGGGCTGGGCCTACTCAGAAGTGGATAAAGGATATCATTTTGATATTTTTCTCCATACCTCTTCTAGTTTGTGCACATCTGCCTCCAGCACTATTCTCTGGTTCTTAACTTTCAGGAGGCTCTCTAGCATACTCTGCTTGGGATGCAGCCCTCTGTCAAAGCGGTTATACATCCCACACCAGAACCTTAAGTAAACAAAAAGAAAAAAGTGGGTTAGCTTAACTAGAGGGATAGATTACTTATTTTTTCCTTATGTTAAGAAAATATTACCCTGGTAGGTAGGAAGATCTCAAAAGGAAGGCAATTTTAATGACATTAAAAACACTTGACAAGGTCATAATTGAAGGGTAAAGTTCTGAGCAGAAAAATCTCTGCTGGAAGAGACACTTAGGATGTGAGCAAACTTGAACTTCTTTAAATAATTTTTAAAATTATGTGAAACTTTTTATTTTGAAAAAATATAGATTCACATGCAGTTTTTTGTTGTTTTGTTTTTTTTTTGTTATCCTCACCTGAGGACATTTTTGCCATTTTTTGTTCAGATAGAGTGGGAGGTGGAGAGAGAGAGAGAGAGAGAAACATCGACGTGAAAGGGACACATCGAGTGGCTGCCACCAGCACAACCCAACCAGGGCCGGGGACAAACTGCAACCGAGGTAGGTACGTGCCCTTAGCGGGAACCGAACTCGGGTCTCTCTGGACCACAGGCCGACACTCTAACTGCTGAGCCAAACTGGCCAGGGCTAATTTGTATTTTTTAATCCCTTTTTTTTCACCCATTTTCCAAATCCCCTCCCATCTGGCAACTCTCAAAATATTCTCTGTATCTGTGTCTGTTTGTTTTGCTTGTTTATTTTGTTTTTAGATTCCACATATAAGTAAAATCATATGGTATTTGTTTTTGTCTGACTTACTTCACTCAGCAAAATACCATCTAGGTGCATCAATGTTGTTACAGATGGCAATATTTTGTTTTTATAATATTTTTAAGATCAATGACAGAGCATTAGGGGACGGGGCTGTAAAGGCTGATAGCACCCTAGCTGAGGCACAGAAGTACTTCATTACTTTTCCCATGTGACTGACAATGATACCACAGAGTGTGGCCTCATTAATGCAGGGTGGTGGTGAATGTCCTGACTCTACACTAGTCCTCCTCTGATACTATCCAACTCGGGAGAGGGAGAGATACTTTATCATTGCTGAGTGGAGGTGAAAGTTCAGGGTGTGCACATGATGTGTACTGACAATGACAGGAGGAGAATATCTAGTGGGGATAAAAATCCTTCTCTGACCTTCTCTGTGACACCACCTTAGAGGGGAAGATGTGGGGATATTTGGGTACTTGCTACAGCTTGAAAAGGGTAGAAACCTGGGCTACCTACTTGGCCTTTGCTGGCTTGGTGGGATCACTATTTATTTACTTATTTTATTATCATTATTTTTATTGTTGGAAGTATTACAGATGTCTCCCCTTTTTCCCCCATTGACCCCCTTCTTCCCGCTTCCACCCCCATCTTGCCTTCCCCAGCCTAGTGTCCATGTCCATTGGTTGTGCATATATACACATAAGTTCTTTGGTTTATCTCTTCCCAGCCCTCCCATCCCCGCCCCCACAATTTATTTATATAGTTTGACTAAAGGTAAGCAGTTATGGTCTGAGTTTTCTGTCTTAGTAGGCTGTCCCTTTCCTAGTCTTTGGCGAGATAAAACAGGCTTCTCCTAATGCATTTTCCCCCCTGTATCCTTAATGTTTCTAGGCTGTCAGCTTTTTTAGCTCCAAGTCTGGGATATATGAAACAAAAAGGAAACCCACAGAACTCACCATAGTGTTGTTCCTTCAGTCTTGTGGACCCTAATCAGTCTGCCTTCTTTTCTCTACTGTTAATACTTGTTTAATGTTTGTTTTATAATGTCCAGAGGTTTTAGTTTACTTAGTGGAGGAGTAGGATAAAATATTTCTATCATATGTTCCCCTTGATCTGGTTTTCATTTCTCAAAGAAATACAGGAGAATTTTTGGCACCATAATTATCAAGAAGCACTTGTAAACTAGCATCACTTCACTGAGGCATTCTCATTTGAAATAGCTAAAGCTAAGAAGAATGATGACAACAAAAAATGCCTATCATTGGTGACATCACTGAAAATGGTGAATTGGGGATTTCCAAAACTCCATCCCTTCACTAAAGCAATGATTAAGCAGGAAAAAGCAGCAATAATCAAGTTTTTTGAAAGTTCAGAATCTAATAAAAAAAAATGTATAACAACCAGGGAAACGCTTAATGTACAATAGAGTTGATACAGTTTGATAAGAGCGTGTGACTACATTTTTACTTATCTACCTGCATTTTGACTTACCTTCAATCCCCAACATAGCAGCAGCTTTGGGGATGGCAGTTTACATTAACAATGTGGCTTTCTGGTCCCAGAGAGGGAAAGACAGACCTTTTTATCGAAATATTGTGGTTGTGTATTTTTACTTCTCTGGTATCCCCTGAAGGATGGGCCCAAGGGCTTATTTTGTTCAACTCAGAACTTTATCAGGGCTGGAGTGGCCCTCCAAACAAGGTTGAAAGAATTTAAAGACAAGGAGGAGCCTTCTGGACAATATCAAAAGAATTTAAAGGCAAATGTACTACAACTAGACAGTTGAGGCAAGGGATAATAGATGGGGTAAGCAGAAGACATATTGAAAAGTCTGGGAAGAAGGAGTTTTAGGAAAATGATACGTGGGAAAATAAGAGTACTAAAATACTCCTGTCTATACCAGGGTATGTAGTAGGCCAGGTACATGCCAAGGGCTAGACACGTGCTCAGAAAAGACCTAAAAGGACCCTAAACTTTCACCTGTGACTGATTTTTAGGCTCTGCACAGCAGGAAGTGAAAGCAAAGGGAGAGTTATAAAGGGCCTGGCTAAGCAATGATGGTGTACACCAACACAGAGCCAATCTGCAAAGAGATGACTTATTTTTATTATTTGGCATTTAAGGAAATATCTGTCAAATCACTAGCTGACCAATTAACTAATAGAAGGCGAATTTACTCACCACACCTGTCAAAGAATACAGCCTTGACAAAAATAGTTTATAAAAGTCACTAATCAGTTACAACCCCCAACAAGTAGCAACAAGCCTTAAAGAGAGGGGATCTGATTTCCAGAGTTAATATATTATAATATTCAAACTGTCCAGTTTTGAACAGGAAAAAATATAAGAAGCATAGAGAAAAACAAGAAAATATGACCCACTCACAGGAAAAAAAAATTAATAGAAATTGTTCATGAATAAGCCCAAACATTGGTCCTACTAGGCAATACTTTAAAGCAATTGTCTTAAATATGCTCACAGAACTAAAGAAACCCAGGAAAATGAAATCTCACCAAGTGATGAGTATCATTAAAGATAAATTATTAAAAGTAACTAAATAGAAATTCTGGAAATAAAAAGTACAAGAAGTGAAATGAAAGACTCACTAAAGGAATTCAACAAAAGATCAGATTAGACAGAAGAATAAATTAACTAGAAGACAGATCTTTTCAGATTGCCCACTCTAAGGGGTAGAAAGAAAAAAACAATGATGAAAAGTGAACAGAGTCTGAAGGACCTGTGGGAAACTATTAAGTATACCAACACACACATAACGGTAGTCCTAGAAGGATAGAAGAGGTAGAAAGGGGCAAAAAGAATATTCGAAGACATAATGATCAGAAACATCCTAAATTTGATGAAATACATGAATCTAAATATCTAAGAAGCTCAAGAAACTTCAAGTAGGATGAATTAAAAGAGCTCCACAGTGAGATATATTATAATTAAACATCAAAAGACAGAGAATCTTGAAAGCAATAAGATAGAATCCACCTACCTATGACATACAAGGGAATCCTCAATAAGATTAATAGCTGATTTCTCATTGGAAATTACTATAGCCAGAAGGCAGTAGGATCACATATTTAAAGGGCTAAAAGAAAAAATTCCTGTCAACCAAGAATTATATATCTGGCAGAACTATCCTTCAGAAATGAAGGAGAAATGAAGACATTCCCAAATAAACAGGGACTGAAGGAGTTAATCATTAGTAGCCTTGCTCTATAAGAAAAAAACTAAAAAGTAATCTTTAGGCTAAAATTAAGATACTATGCAGTAATTCAAAGTATACAAAGACATAAATAATACCAATAAAAGTAATCCATTAGATGAATATACAAGCAAGCAATATTGTAATTTTTATTTGTAATTCCTCTTTTCTTCCTTAAAATTAAAAAAAAAAAGATAATCATAGATCTATGTTAATGGGCACACAATGTGTAAGATGTAATTTATGAAAACAATAATATAAAGAGGAGAACAAAGCTGCTTGGGAGTATAAGATTTTGTAGACAATTGAAGCAAAGTTGGTATTAATTGATACTAGACAGTTATGAATTTAAGGTGTTAATTGCAATCACCAGGATGACAAATAAGAAAATAACTAATAAGTATACAGAAAAGGAAAGAGAAGGGAATTAAAATTATATACCTAAAATATTGATTTAACACAAAAGAAAATAGTAATGGAGAAATTAAGGAATAAAAAAATATATAAGATACATAGAAAATCAGTAGCAAAGTGGCAGAAGTCTTTCTTATCAGAAATTATTTTAAATGTAAATAGACCAAATTTTCCAATTAAAAGGCAGAAGTTTGTAAAATGGGTTAAAAAAGATGATCTAACTATATGCTGTCTTTAAGAGACTCACTTTCGATTAAAAGTGAAAATGTTAATGGATAGAAAAAGATATTCCATGCAAACAGTAATCAAAACAGGGCTGGTGTAGCTATACTAATAAAGATAAAATAGACTTTAAGTAAAAAATTGTTACAAGAGACAAAGAAGGACATTATGTATTCATAAAAGGGTCAATGCATCAAGAATATATAATTATAAACACATGCACTTAACAATAAATCCCAAAATATATACAAAGCAAAAATTCATGAAATTGAAGGGAGAAATAGACACTGATAGAACTGAAGGGAAAAATATACAGTTTTACAGTAATAGCTGGAGACTTCAATATTCCACTTTCTATAATGAATAGAAAAATGAGGTGGAAGATAAAAAAAAAGAAAATAGAGGACTTGAAAAACATTATATATTAATTTGAACTAATAGACATAATAGAACACTACACCTAAAAACAGCAGAGTAGCCCTGGCCGGTTTGGCTCAGCGGTTAGAGCGTTGGCCTGCAGTCCAGAGAGACCGGGGTTCAGTTCCCACTAAGTACACATGCCTCGGTTGCAGTTTGTCCCCAGCCCTGGTTGGGTTGTGCGGGTGGCGACCACTCGATGTGTCCCTTTCACGTTGATGTTTCTCTCTCTCTCTCTCCCTCCCACTCTATCTGAACAAAAAATGGAAAGATGTCCTCAGATGAGGATAAAAAAACAAACAAAAACAAAAAAACAGCAGAGTATACATTGTTCTCAAATAATACCCACCATTTACAAAAGAGGTACAATTCTCCAGGATATAACTTATGTTAGGTCTTAAATAATTTTTTTCTTGATTTTTTTCCTTTATTGATTTAGAGAGAGAGGAAGGGAGAGGGAGAGATAGAAACATCAATGAGAGAGAACAACGATTGGCCACCTCCTGCATGCCCTCCACTGGGGATCAGGCCTACAACCTGGGCATGTGCCTTGACCGGGAATCGAACCGGTGACCTCTTGGTGCATGGGTCAATGCTCAGCCACTGAGCCACACCAGCCAGGCCTTATGTTAGGTCTTAAAACAAGTCTTAATAAATCATAAAACATTAAAATCATGCAAAGTATATTCTCTGATCACATTGCAATAAAACTAGAAATCCATTACAATTACAAAAGGAAAATATGAGCATTCACAAATATGTGGAAATTAAGCAACACACATTTAAACAATCAATTGATCAAAGAAGTCATAATGGAATTAAAATTACTCTGGGAAGCTGTAGAGAGAGAAATTTTGCAAGAAAATAAAAAGCATCAAAATCGGAAAGGAAGAAGTAAAACAATCTCTATCTAGGAATGACATGATCTTATATATACAAAATCCTAAGGAATACACAAAATAAACTACTAGAGCTAATAAATCATATTCAGCCCCGTCTTGTACTCCATTCACTTGTGGTCAGTAACACAACAGCTTCTATACTTTTTTGGAAAAGCATGGCAAACAATACCAACACTTTCTATTTCTCTGTTTTTCTTTCTCTATTTTGGGGAAGAGGATGGGAAGAAGAGAAGTTATAAGGAAAGACTGAGAGGAATAAAGCAAGCTACATCCTGACTGGTTGTTATTTCTTATTTATTTCCCTATTCAATTAATAGCAAAACCCTGAAAATCTAAAGGAGGGTGGTCTTGTTTTCAGGGGCAGCAAGGAATGGGATGTGGAGAGAATGTCCTACTCCACAGCCACGATTGTGGAGATAATGGCAGCTATACAAGGAGAGGCAAAGCAACTGAGACCCCGGGGTCTGCTATAAGAAAGAAGGTGACAGCCTAGGAACTTACTGAATGTTGTAAGGCACAGTGCTAGGATTGAGCATCCCATACATAGTGAAGCCTTTATAGAGAGGGTTCCTGAAGTCTGATTTCCTCTGAGCCAAGAAAGGCCACACGGAATAGGTTTTCTCATAGACTCTGTCAAAAAAAAGAAAAACAAGCCAAAAAATTAAAAGCAGCAAGCAAGTAATATTAATAGTCCTGTTGAACATGATAATCAGACAGATTTTACTAATAAGTAACCCAACTCAAGAGATGGATAGTATATGATAGAGGGAAAATGTTAATAAGGGGCTAATGAGCATTGATTAAATAAAGAACTTTCTGGACTTCGACTTATCCATTTTTTAAATGAATAAGGTTAGAGAGTTCCACATTGGAGAGCCTCTGCTGTGGAGTAACTATGTGATATTAGGAATGACCCTAGGTTTCTCTGGGCCTGTCTTCTCATTCATATAATATGACCTCCAAGGTCTCTTCCAAATCTAGGAGTCTATGAACTGATCACCTTTCTAGTTTTAAAAAATCTGGAATTGCCTGACCAGTGTGGCTCAGTGGACTGAACATCATCCCATGGCCTGAGAGGTCCCTGTTTGATTCCTGGTCAGGGCACCTGCCCAGGTCTCAGGCTCAATCCCCAGTAGGGGGCGTGCAGGAGGCAGCCACTTGATGTTTCTCTCTCACATCGCTGTCTCTCTCTCTCTTTCCCTTCCTCTCTCTCTCTCAAAAAATCAATTAAAAATATTTTAAAAAAGAAAAAACAATCTGGAATACTTTTTGAAATTCTGGTAAGTTAACAGACAGCCTAGAAAGTGAATTTCTGGCTCTTCTGTATTTCATTTTATTTCAAGCCAGCTTCTCTTCCTCTCAGAAGGTATAAAACAGTAAAAGACAAGTGGTAATTTATATTAGTAAATGCCTGTGGGTTATTCTATATGAGCATCTAAAGACTGTGATATTTATGTTGTAAGACTAACTCTTATACTTTAGTTGAGACCATGGGACCTTGCTCACCAAGCAAGTTAACACCTGAGAAAGTTTGGATCTACTGGTCCCCAATAAGAGCTGCTGTGTACATTAATGGGAAGATTATTTGCACACACTGTCTCAAGGAACAGAACAAAAAAGAATGGTATGGATGCTAGGACCTAAAATTGTAGTCTTTTAACTTTGATAATCCTCAGACCATTCCAGTGAGACCAAAGGCCCTGTATATCTCTTTGTCATTTGTTGTTGGTTAAAAACAGAAAAATATATTGCAGAGGTAAGGTAACTAATATTTATTATTTACTATGTGTCAAACACTGTTCCAGACTGTATGTAAAGTACCTCATTAAATTTTGTGATATTTTACCCCCAAATTAGTAATGAGAAAATGAGACAAAAATTATTTTGCTAAAGGTCACATAACTAGCCTGGCCAGTGTGGCTCAGTGGTTGAGCATCAACCCGTACCAGGAGGTCGCCAGTTTGATTCCTGGTCAGGGCACATGCCCAGGTTGTGGGCCAAATCCCCAGTATGGGGCATGCAGGAGGCAGCCAGTCAATGCTCTCTCTCATCAATGTTTCTATCTCCCCTTCTCTCTTCCTCTCTCTCTCTAAAATCAATAAAGAAAAAAAATTTTTTTTAAAGGTCATGTAACTAGAAGGTAACACAGCCAAAATTTGAACCCAGGTCTCTCTAGTTCTAGAGCCCATGCTTTTCCTTTTATGAATGAAATGAAACTCTGCTTATTTTAAGTAATCACTATTTTAAATTTGTCCTCACTCAAGGACTTTTTTTTTTTTTCATTTATCTTCAGATACAGTGGGAGGGAGAGAGGAAGAGAGAGAGAGAAACATCAATGTGAGAGAGACACATAGAGTGGTTGCCACCCACACGACCCCAACCAGGGCCGGGGACAAACTGCAATCGAGGTATGTGCCCTTAGCAGGAACGGAACCTGGGACTCTCTGGTCCACAGGTCGATGCTCAAACCACTGAGCCAAACCAGCCAGGGCAGTATAATATGTGTTAAAATGTTCAACTTTTGTACTGTTACATGGAGATTCAGATTTGTGTGGGGAATGGGTCTAGGATATATTAGCCTCACTTTTAGAGGGTGGAAAAAATAATATGGACCCTGGCTGGTGTGGCTCAGTTGGTTGGAGTGTCGTCCCATACACCAAAAGGTAGAGGGTTCAATTCTGATTCCTGGTCAGTGCACATACCCAGGTTGTGGATTTGATCCCTGATCTGGGCACACGAGGAAGCAAATGATCAATGTTTCTCTCTCACATTAATATCTCTCTCTCCTTTCCTCTAAGGTCAATTTTTTTAAAAAGAGTATGGAAAAGATCTTGAATTTTAATTCCTAGACAGAATTAATGTGTCTAAAAGCATTTGGGGAAAGGGTAAGAAAGGTCTGGTTGCAAAAAGAAAAAGATGCATAGATGTTACTAAGTAAGTACAATGTTAAAGTAGCAAGACCCATCATTCTTCTCTGGATTGACAAGAAAACCTAAGCACAAAGAGGTGATGTCACCCAGGATACTTCATAGAGGTGCCTGAGAACTTAAGTTAACTAAACCAACAGCTGTGAAACAAGAATAGGTAGTGAGATAGCTACTTCACTGTCTTTTTTTCTTTGTCTCTAAAACAAAAACAATACTACTCACAGAAACTCTATTTTGTCAAACTCAAAAAGTACGTATGCTATGGATATTGTGGGGATGTTCGAGTTCAAGTCTGGTACGAATTCCATGGCCTATAGGAGCTGGGAAGATTATATTAGAAGTGGACTAAGAATAAGCAATAAGGAGTAGTGAGAACTGTGGCAAACAAGAGTGGGTTTGCCTCATCCAAGCTGAGCAGCTGTTATTCAGCTCTGATTATTGCCATGAGAAAACGCACGTCCTATGTTGCCACAACTCTTGATTTTTCAGAATAGTTTGGCACAATGGTTTTTCTATTTAGGATAAAATCCTAAAATAACTGAATTTTTATGTGAATTATCCTGATATTTAAATGTTGGCAACTAATTCACAGTTTAAAAAATACACAGACTAGCCCTGGCCGGTTTGGCTCAGCGGTTAGAGCGTCGGCCTGCAGTACAGAGAGACCCGGGTTCGGTTCCCGCTAAGGGCACGTACCTCGGTTGCAGTTTGTCCCCGGCCCTGGTTGGTCGTGCGGGTGGCAACCACTCGATGTGTCCCTTCACATCGATGTTTCTCTCTCTCTCTCTTCCTCTCTCCCCCTCCCACTCTGTCTGAACAAAAAATGCAAAAATGTCCTCGGGTGAGGATAAAAAAAAAAAAAAAATACACAGACTAAACAAAATCATGCCTGTTGAGCTAGATTTGGCTTATGAGCTGCCATTTTGTGATCTGATACAAGTGATAAAGGACTATTCATTGCCTGTACAGTAAATGATTCTTTACAAAGTTAATGCACATCCATTGTTTCAGTGGTTCCTCATGATTTCTCTGAAAAGTAGGTATTATTATCCCTATTCGACAAATGAGGAATTTGAGGTTCTGAGGACTCCCCATGAAAACACTGAGTGTTTATGCTACAAAAGTTCTTTTTTATCATTGTCATCTCCTCCTCTTTCCTGAATTGCTGTCCCAAATTCAGGGTGGTTGGCACATTCCTTTTGTAGTAACCCCGTCTCCCTATTTAGTGTTTTCTCACAAACTGAATTCACCTCATATCTTCCCGATCCTTCTGGCAGTTTCCAAGGAAGTTCCCAAATTGGCAGGAAAAAATATGGTCATGGATCTCCAGCAGGAAGATTTCATTAAACTCAAAGGCACAAGGAAATTGTTCCATCAATTGCCAGATACAGTCTAGGAACTGGGTGAAAACAGGGGATACTTCTTTAGGGTCCCCTTCCAAATGGCCACACCTGAAAGATGCCAAATGAAAGTAAAAAAGACAGTGGTTAACATCAAGGATTAACTGTTTGGAATAAACTATGATGAGGTCAGCTTTTGTCTCTGTTGGCATTGGCAAAAAAACACCTGAAGCCAAAATGCCAACCAGAATCTCAAAGCTCCTTAAACCCAACAGACTTCTTAACTGCTGGCATTCCTTCACAATCATCCAGATTTTAAGGCCTTTGGTCATCTATTCTATTTCCTCTTATGCCATCTTTATAACAGAACTTTCTGCAATTATATAAATGTCCCATATCTGTGTTGTCCAATATGGTAGTCACTAACTAATTAAGCACTTGAAATGTGGTTAGTGTGATTGAGGACCTGAATTTTTAATTGTAGTACTAATTTTAATTAATTTAAATTTAAATAGCCACATTTAACTCTATGTGAGCAAGGACAACGTTTATGTTGTTTACTGTACAGTTCTTAACACAAAATAGATATATAATAAACACTTATTAAATGAATGAACAAACCCCATTATAGAACTATTTAGTGTTTCCTCTCCCATGATGCCTTCTATACCAACTCTAATATCCATTAGAAACTTTGTTCTGGAAACAAATATGACATCCTCACCTTCTACATTATATGTTCTACTTTCTGGTTTCATTAAAACATACCTGGCCCTGGCCAGTTTGGCTCAGCGGTTAGAGTGTCAGCCCACAGACCAGAGAGTCCCGAGTTTGGTTCCCACTAAGGGCGCGTACCTTGGTTGCAGTTTGTCCCCAGCCCCGGTTGGTGTCAAGTGGGTGGCAACCACTTGATGTGTTTCTCTCTCTCTCTTCCTCCCTCTCTTCCTCCTACTCTATCTGAAGACAAATGCAAAAATGTCCTCGAGTGAGGAAAAAAAAAAAAAAAAAAACATGCCTGGCCTGGCTGGTGTGGCTCAGTGGTTGCTCAGCGGTTAGAGTGTCGGCCCACAGACCAGAGAGTCCCGAGTTTGGTTCCCACTAAGGGCGCGTACCTTGGTTGCAGTTTGTCCCCAGCCCCGGTTGGTGTCAAGTGGGTGGCAACCACTTGATGTGTTTCTCTCTCTCTCTTCCTCCCTCTCTTCCTCCTACTCTATCTGAAGACAAATGCAAAAATGTCCTCGAGTGAGGAAAAAAAAAAACAAAAAAACATGCCTGGCCTGGCTGGTGTGGCTCAGTGGTTGAGCATCAGCCCATGCACCAAGAGGTCACCAGTTCGATTCCCGGTCAGGGTACATGCCCGGGTTTTGGGCCAAATCTCAAGTCGGGGGGCATGCTGGAGGTGACCAATCGATGTTCTCTCTCACCGACGTTTCTATCTCTCTCCCTCTCTGTTCCCCTCTTTCTCTCTAAAAATCAATTAAAAAAAAAAAACCTTAAAAAAAAAATGCCTCACCAAGGACACACCTCTTCCCAGAGCCCAAATCAAATGGAGAATGCTCATTATTCCACTCTCCACATACCATAATCCTAAAACAAGGCAAAGTTGGAATTAGCTTTCTCCTTGCTCCTACTACTGCTTTCAAGTTCTCCTTTCTACTCTTAAAAAGACTTCCATTATTGGTCATGCTGTTTAGATTACACTACCTTCCCCTTCCTCACTGTTGTCTTCTACCAATCTCTGGAATAGGCTATTATGAGGTCACTTTTTGTGACCTCGTATTACGAAGAATATGATTCCCGTTTTAAGTCTTATCTTTGGAGTACAGGCGGATGACCTACATTGGCTTGGCAGGTTGCTTAACTAACGCAAATCTAATTATCTTCACTGAAGTTTTCCTCTACTTCACTATCAACCTCCCATCACCATGGCCATAGGCTGGTTCCTTAAATTACCTAGAGGTTTGTACTCCACTTTGAAACTTTAATCTCAATATCCTACTCTGACCACGATATACTTCCAATATTACTGCTGATATTACTTCCTCCAACCCTTATCTCTGGACCTCTCAACTTCCCAGATTCCTACTGGCTTCCCTTTCTTCCTTATCCAGCCTAAACTTTATGGTCTGCTCCATCAACTAATATCTCCCCATTTTCTTCAGCTTTCTGGTCTTGTCATTATTCTAATTCAAAATCCAACTATAGATGAGCCTAAAAGCTATGTTCTGTGCTCCCAAATCCAGACTGATAAATGCTTCTTGAGAATATTATAAAATAATGCAAACTGATGTCATGTGAAATAAAGTCTCCTGTGACATCAGAGGAATGGCAGCATGAGAGATCCTCTTAGTCTCTCCCCTTGGAATTTCAACAATTTAAACAGCTATAACTCAACAAAAGACTCTCTGCTCAACATACAGGAATGTCTGAAATCTCCGCACATTGAAACAACTGGGAAAAGACAAGGGAGGTGAGTAAGGAGAGGAGCCATGGATGCAGCCCTGCAGCTGGGAGCTCATGGTGGGGCTCAGTTCGAAGAGGGGAGGAATTGGGTTGTGGCTGGCAATCCCTTCAGCAAGGAGGAGAAGAGAAATTAAGTAGGTTATTTCTGCAAGAATAAGCAGTATAAGCTGTAGCTGAGCCCAGAAACCTGGGAACGACACAGCACAGGGGTGCTGCTGTGGTTGTTCAGCAGTCAGTATTCTAGACAGAGAAACAAAGCCATGGAGCCCTGCCACCCAGTAGATTCCCAGAACTTGCCTCAATTTGCCCTTGGTGTTGGATTACAGAGCACATTATCGGCAAACCCAAGAACTGGTACTACAGAATCATTACATCCCTGAACAAAGGGTGCACTACGTGATTGGTCTCAGGTTGGGGCACAGAGGGGACCCTGCAGAGCTCCAAGATCACCATTACTGGGAGGGCAAAACAAAAAAGGTGGTCAGGCCCTGGCCAATTTGGCTCAGTGGTTGGAGCGTCGGCCTGCAGTCCCAAAAGACCTGGGTTCGGTTCCCACTAGGGGTGTGTACCTCGGTTGCAGTTTGTCCCGGCCCTGGTTGGGTCGTGCGGGTGGCGGCCACTCGGTATGTCCCTTTCGCGTCAATGTTTCTCTCTCTCTCTCTCTCTCTCGCTCTATCTGAACAAAGGACGAAAATATGTCCTCAGGTAAGGATAAAAAAAATAAAAATTAAAGGTGGTCAGGCTCCCCCAGCCAACCCAACCCCCATACATCCTGGTTACACTGATGGCAGCCAGAGACTGTGAGGGTTCGCACTGGGATTTCAACTGGTGATTCAGCACCACCTACTGGAGAAGAATAGAAAGACCTCTTTGTATTCATCTAGAGATTTGTATCCATGCTAGAGAAATGCCACTCATTCATAGATGCCTAGACAGAGAAGGAATCCATCAAATACCATGAATAACCTTGGTAGCAAGGCAGCTCAAAAAGAAAATTAAAATCTCCAGAAAGCAAACTTAAACACATAGAAATATATGATATAAACAACAGAGACTTCAACACTGCAGTTATGAAAATATTCAATGAGATACGAGAAAATACAGACAGGCAATTTAATGCACTCTGAAAACAAATGAAAGAATAAAAAAGGACTATAACAAAGAGATTGAAACTTTATATCTATATCTATATTTATATCTATATCTAGATAGATAGATAGATATGGATATATTTTTTTAGTCCTCAGCTGAGGATATTTTTCTATTTATCTTCAGATAGAGTAGGAAGGAGGGAGGGAGAGAGAAAGGGGGAGAGAGAGAGAGAAACACTGACATGAAGGAGACACATTGACTGGTTGCCTCCCGCATGACCCAACCAGGGCTGGGGACAAACCGCAACTGAGGTACATGCCCTTGACTGGAATCGAACCCAAGACTCATTGGTCCATAGGCCAATGCTCTAATCACTGAGAAAACCAGCCAGGGCAAGAGATTGAAACTTTTTTTTTAATTTATTTTTTTATCCTCACCCAAGGACATTTTTTGCATTTATCTTCAGAGAGAGAGGAAGGAAGAGAGAGAAACATCGATGTGAGAGAGATACATCAACTGGTTGCCACCCACACAACCCCAACCGGCGCCAGGGACAAACTGCAACCAAGGCACATGCTCTCAGCAGGAACCGAACTGGGACTCTCTGGTGTGTGGGCCGATGCTCTAACCGCTGAGCCAAACCGGCCAGGGCAAGAGATTGAAACTTTTAAAAAAGAACCAAACAGATCATTCTGGAGAGGAAAAACTGAATAAAATACATCAGGAATGAACTAGTGAGCATAGGAAACAGAGCCAACCAGATGGAGGAAATAATTAGTGAAACAGAAGATAGAAATCTAGAAATGATGCAGAGGGAAGAAAGGAGATTGAGTATTAAAAAAAAGGAAAAAATATATGAGAACTGACTCTATCAGAAAGAGCAATATAACAGTAATAGGCATATCAGAAGAAGAAGAGAGTGAAAGAAACAGAGAACCTATTCAAACAAATAGTTGATGAGAGATTCTCAAACCTATGGAAAGAGCTAGATCCTCGAATCCAAGAAACAAACAGAATACCTACTTACCTCAATCCAAAGAGGCCTTCTCCAAGGCACATTGTTTTAAAACTGTCAAAAATTAATGACAAAAAGAATTCTCAAGGCAGCCAGGGTAAAGAAGAAAGTAGCCTACAAAGAAAAACCCATTAAGTTATCATTGGACTTCTCAGCAGAAACCCTACAAATCAGAAGAGTGTAACCAAATATACAAACTACTAAAAGTGAGAAATTACCAGCCAAGAATAATATATCCAGCAAACTTATCCTTTAAATATGAAGGACAGCCCTGGCCAATTTGGCTCAGCAGTTAGATCGTCAGCCTGCGGTCCAGAGACCCGGGTTCGGTTTCCGCTAGGGGTGTGTATCTCGGTTGCAGTTTGTCCCCGGCCCTGGTTGAGTTGTGCAGGTAGCAGCCACTTGATGTGTCCCTTTCAATTCGATGTTTCTCTCTCTCTCTTCTTCTCTCTCCCTCCCACTCTATCTGAACAAAAAATGGAAAAATGTCCTCAGGGGAGGATTAAAAAAGAAAGACAAATAAAGACTTTTCCAGACATAC